AAGATTTGATAAACTGCTTTGCTTGTCGTTGTCCTGGTGTTCGCTGCCACCAGCTCTGGAACTCTCTGTTTATCCAGTTCTTAATAGATGTTTTAAAACTGCCTGCAGAAATTCCGCAGAATGGTTCTGGGCCTATCATCTCAGTGGCCGAGCCTCCTTTGGCCAAGTCATCAGCTTTTCCATTTCCTGGGTGGCCCTCATGGCCTGGTAAGTTTGTTGGACAGGCCCACCTCCTCTAGGGCACGTACACAGCCTCCAACCAGCTTGGAGCTGATCTTTTGGGAGCTGATTGCCTTTAGGGCCGCCTGGCTGTCCGAGTAAATAACGATGTTTTTACTCCCAACTTTCCTTACATTTATCAGTATGGCACAGTGCATTATTGCAGCAATTTCCGCCTGAAACACCGTGGCGTACCGTCCAAGACTTGTGGATATTTCCACCCTAGGTTTGTCGCGGTAAATGCCTGCTTCGACTCCCTTGCTGGTCTTGGAGCCGTCGGTGTACCAGACATAGTCTGCTTTAATTGGGGGACCTTTCTCCCAGTTTTTCCTCTCTGGTATGGCAACCCGGAAGTGCCTATTGAAAATGAAGATAGTTTTTGTTTTGTCTGGAGTGCATCCTGAACAATGAGATTACCTCTGGGTCTTCCTCTATTTTCCAGCTCATGGGCCTTTGGTTCTTTCTATAATTGGTCCCTGGCCTTGCTTCAGTCTGTATAATACCGCCTTTACTCCACTCTGTATGTAGATATGTAGTGGCGGCAGGTTTAGCAGCACCTTCAAGGCTGTGGTTGGGGCTGTTTTCATGGCACCCGTGATGCATACGCAGGCTAGCCTTTGCACACTTTGAAGCTGTCTGATTGCTATGGTCTGTGTGACCTTTGTACCCCCTCGAACCGTAGGTTATCATTACCATTTTGTATAACCATAGATTCATCTTTGGATTAAGTCTCCAGCTTTTTCCATAGAGCCTTCTGCATCTCCCCAGGGAAATTTTGGCCTTATGGACAACTTTATTGTGGTGTAGACCTCAGGTCATCTTTTGATCAAAAATAACTCCTAGATATTTGACCTCTTTTGAGAAGGGGATTTCCGCTACATTGAGCTTAGGACATCAAAGTCCTCTTAGTACTCTTTTCTTTGTGAACGGGATAATTACGGTTTTTTGCGGATTAACCGACAAGCCTTCATCCGGATATTACGCAACTTTATCTTTATTTTTACCCTGAATCTCTAACTATTTCTGAGATGCCAATGCCAATGGTGAACATCAAATTTGTAACACCCTGCATACAATTACAGATATTAAAGATCGGTTACTCACCTCTAGTTCACAGCCTATTTTCCTGGATAACTACCGTTAGTTCACAGCAGCCGCTTGAAAAGCCTTTTGATCCTTACATGGAATTTTAGCCGCCGCAACAGAAGTAAGGCCTGATATCAGTAATATTGATTCCTAGCCTCAGTTTCCTGCCTCGTTTCAGTCGTTTCCCGGTTTTTTAAAGTATTTCTTCACTTAGCAAGTTGCTATGAGTAACTACGCCGCTATTGGTCCGCCAATGCACTGCGTTAATAGGACATACGTTATGAGGACGTCCTCTCATAGAATCCTTTTGGTGGGGTCCTTATATAGTAGTAATAAACCACATAATTAAATTTGAAAAAGCTTTTTTTCCATATTTCCGGTAAACATTGGGAAACTATGAATGCCAAATGGGAGTGTATTATAAAATATATTAGAAAATAAACAATATTTGACCCTGTCCTCGGTACAGGGCCGTATCTAGGAGGGGTTTTGAGGGTTCAAACCCCCTCCAAAAAATAATAAAATTCAAAAAATTTAACTTAAAAACAAACAACACTTATTAAATACTTATTTTTTTTTTATTTTATTTTTATTACTAGTGTAACAATTTTTTTTTGCCACTTTGTCTGACCCCCCCCCCAAAATTTTGGTCTAGATACGGCCCTGCCTCGGTACGAATTGGTAGATGCGTGTTTTCTTTGCAATTTTCACTCGTCCTACGGACTCGTGGACTCGTGAAATTATAGAAAACACGCAATCGTGAAAAATTATCCATAATTTTGAAGCTCTCGTGGTATTATGTGGTAGGTATTATCGCCGAAAAATGATATTAAAACCTGAAAAAATGTCAAGATTTATCAAAATGAATTCATGGTTCGAAATGACAATTAATGACAATGACAATCATGTCACCAGATGTCAAAAATTTGACATCTGGTTTTTCCAATTTTTTGATATCAATATTTTTGAAATCCCCTGAGAAATAACCCAACTTGTGAAAAATCTTTATTTTTAAATGCAATTTTTTTTTTTTGGTTTTGTTATACTTAAATCTTTCAAAAATGGTCCTGTCATACGTAAAATGATCTGCTGATGCCAGAAAACTCAAAAAATACCGGGTGTCCCATTTGAAAATTAAAAGTTCCGGTTTAACCGGAAGTGACTGGTAACGCAATTTACTTCTAAAAAACTCAAAAAGTTACCCAAATTTCAAATTTTCAACTTATACCGGGTGTCTACGAGATTAGTTTCGCGCTGGCATTTGCTGGGTTTTTTTTCAATTGTAAAGATTTTTGGTATAGAGTATAGGTTTGAGAAATGTCATCTTTTGACATATGTGTCAATGTTTGGTAACTTCCGGTTTGACTGGAAATGGCCCTAACTTCGTAATTTCGAATGGCATCCCAAGAATTTTTTCGCATTTTTGGGATCTGCGGATCATGATGTATATGAAAAATTCAAATTTGAACATTTTTGAAAAAACTTAAGAATTCTGGATCAAAATTTATTTTTGAATAGAAAGTGACAGAATGGCCTTTAAACTGTTTTTTTTTTCAACTCACACGATCGTAGAAAAATGCGAATACCAAGTTGTTATCCTTTGCTTGTTCTCCAAAGGCTTCCAAAGTTAAAAAAAATCACATTTTACGTGATAACTCAATGAAATCAGTGAAATCACCCAGCTTTCACAACAAGAGATTTTTACCTTTTTCAAAATGAAATCAACTATGCATTAATACTTTTCATTTATGCCTGTTTTTAATTATTTTCTTATTATTTTTATTATGCACTACTATAAATGATGGAAGTACTTGTAAATGAACCCCTGTATGAAAAAACGCTGTCTAAAAGGAGCTGGTGGTCTTTTTTTACTTGTCAAGCCATTGACAAGATCTATGGACAAGATATGTTTAGTTTGTTTGCATAGACATTTGTCATTGTTTGGCATCTCGAGAATTTGTAAATACAAAGTATGAATACAGGGGCGTACTTATAAGTAGTTTTATCTTATCATTTATAGTAGTGCCTAATAAAAATAATTAAAAAATAATTAAAAAGTGGCATAAATGAAAAGTTTGAATGCATAGTTAGTTTTATTATGAAAAAGATAAAAAACTCTTGTTGTGAAAGTTGGGTTATTTCACTGATTTCATTGAGATATCACGTAAAATGTGATTTTCACAACTTTGGAAGCTTTTGGAGAACAAGCAAAGGATAACAACTTGGTATTCGCATTTTTCTACGATCGTGTGAGTTGAAAAAAAACAGTTTAAAGGCCATTCTGTCACTTTCTATTCAAAAATTAATTTTGATCCAGAATTCTTAAGTTTTTTCAAAAATGTTCAAATTTGACTTTTTCATATACATCATGATCCGCAAATCCAGAAAATGCGAAAAAATTCTTGGGATGCCATTCGAAATTACGAAGTTAGGGCCATTTCCAGTCAAACCGGAAGTTACCAAACATTGAGACATATCTCAAAAGATGACATTTCTCAAACTTATACTCTATACCAAAAATCTTTGCCATTGAAAAAAAACTCAGCAAATGCCAGCGCGAAACTAATCTCGTAGACACCCGTATGTATATCAGAAAAGTTATAGGTTGTTCCCTATCCCTTGTGTCACCCTGTATATTCACTGAGTTAGGATAATAGATGAATGATCTGAGTGTAGATCATAACTTTCTTCTATCTCCAGAAAACTTGAAGATACATTTTTTTCTATGAAAAATCAATTAGATCAGGAATTTTCCAGGAACTGTTTGATAATTTGTTGCCTTACCAGTGAATATGGGCTTGCATTGATATTCATTAATAGCTTGCAGAAGTTCCTTTCCAATGGAATTGATTAGTCTAAAACCCCAGTAGGTAGGTTTTGCATTAAAGTCACCTCTAACTATAAATCGATTTCCCAACTTTTTAAGAAAATTAAGATACTGATTTTTCTTCGGTACCTAGATGCCTTGGTGGTATATAGGCAGCTGATATGGTTAGTGTGTATGTTTTGGTTTTTACACTTATACTGAATTCCATTGCTATTGTTTGATATCCCGTCTCTTCAATGTGAGATAAGTTTTCCTTAACTATAACAGCACTTCCTCCATGTGCTGTTTTATTAGGATGAATTGTATGATACACTTTATATAATTAAAATTCAATATAAGATTGATTTTTAAAATGCGTTTCTGATATCAGGCAAATATCAATCTTTTCTATACCTAGGATAACTTGCAACTCTTGCTGATGTTGCAAAAGAGAAAATCAAATGTTTTTTATAATTCTCCTTTCAACCACACAATAGTAAATGGTTTTATTAGGAGTAAAAATGATACTTTTTTAATAGTGAGTCCGACAATTTTAGACGAGCCACAAAAAGTGCTTTTCTCCGAATAAAGGTCAATTCCCACTTACGCTTCACTCAGCTCGGCGACGCGACACGACACCGCGTTGCAAATTGTCGAAAGATAAATATTTCATTGGTTTAAATGAATAGATTCCCACCTACACTGTACTACATTTTACATTTAAACCTTAAAACATGCGACTTTTTCTGCAAACGGTGTTCAAACGATGGAATCAACGAAATAAATATTGTCAATTGTGACGTCACTTTTTTGTCTGTCCGTGAGCGTACAAAAAAGTACATTTTTTTCTGGATTTGTAAATGATATGGGTTGGTAAATACAAACTCACCTTTGAATAACATAGAAATTATCACCGTCATCGCCCTGATTGATAACCAGCTCGTCCTTTACCACTTTCCGTTCGAACATGGCATCCAGGACTTCGTTCATCTGCTCTTTTTCCAGCGCCCGGAACAATAGAATATTTTTAACGGCCTCCGAAAGGCACTGCCTCTGCTGATCCGATTTCGGGAATATCGTTCTTGTACCGTCGTCATCGTCGTCCTCTTCCGGATCGTAGGTTTCGGCGAATACCGATTTACGTCGGTTCTGGAAACGACCCACCGGTGGTTCTGAAATAAAATAGTTTTAGATTAGTTTTTTGAAATTCCGTTTGCATCTCTGCCTCGAAAGCGGCAATACCTGGAAATTGTAGTCTTTTATATGTATTCCTCGTCGAATGTTCGCAACATTTTAATTCGAAACGAAATCTGGTGCAAGGTATAGAATTCTAATAACGTAATAATAATACATATCGTCGTTAATTTCACTAATGGGCGTATATTGAATTTATTAATTTTTCAGGACAAGCATTTGATTTTTTCAATAAATTTGAAAGCTTATGAGTCAAAAACCAAAATAGATATTAAAATGTCTTTTGGTGTACTTACAGGCTATTAAGTGGTATTTGGAATACTGTTCATAAAAGTAGAATACTTTCATTTTTAGTCTGAAAATTTTGAAAAAAATACATTTACGCCACTTTGCAAAATTTTATTTTTGCACGTTTCACATACGCCTCCCAAAATAAGTCATATACTGCCCTTTGTACAGGTTTGTCAACTATTTTTTTTTTATACTCTCTGGTTTGTAGTTTAATGGCAACAAGGTAGAGTGGTTGGAATTTTTAAAAAACACATCTGCCTAAATTAGAATACATTTTTATTGCATAATATTAAAATTAATAAAATTTTGATTGTATTATGTTTTGCTGCTAAGAATAAACTTTACGAATCAAACTTAATATAAATAAACGGTTGACTCATGGCCGTTTCCACCAACTATTTTAGGGGAAACATAACGATAAGTATTCCCTAAAATGACATTTTTTCATGGACAAATGTCAGTTTAAGGCATACCTATCGTTAGGGCTTCTCTACTCTCTACTACTATACCTAATTATGATTTTGCCTCATTGCCGACTACTGGCTTGTTTAAATCATTTTTTTCTTATAGTTTGATTGGCAAATTCGATTCCTCATCACTAGAATAATCACTATATGGTAATGTAGCTGACGTATCATCATAGTCCTCATTTTTCTCTACAGCTATGACAGATCCACAATACCATTTTTTTTTTCATACCTACCACATTTTCACATAACTGCCTTCTTTTAGAGTTTTATTTTTGCCCAAAACCACTATCTGTCGCGAATCCACAATATTTTGTGTGCTGCCTGTCCATTTAATTAGAACATCCATCTTTGTTTGTTTGAAAAGCAATAAAAACACAAACCAAAACACGAACAAGTGCAGTAAATTGACTGACTAATGTCTTCCGATATGAGCTAAATTTTAGTTTAAAACAGGTTTGGTGCGCGTCAGCAAAAAGGCGTATGTATTACTATATACGCCAACGCGAGCTTCAAGGTCATCTCTAAAAAAAAAATATTTCAGGCGTATATGATATACGCCTTTTAGGAAGATACATATTTCTTGTTTCAAAACATACGTCTAAAAGAAAAATGTGTATAACTCAGAAACTACTGGCAGTTCATATGCGCCAATTAGAGGGCGTATAATTTTGATGTTTTGCGACATAAATTCCCTGAAAACGAAAAATCGCTTATTTCTCATATACGTCCCTTTGTCAAATTAACGACGATATGTACAAATCGATTACTATATGACGTTTTTATCTAAAAACGAATATAAAATCTATTTTTGGGTCTGCTATTTACACTCCATAAACGCACATTAATTTTTGATTAGGTTGTTGTCCCTATTGACGTCAAGAGTAATTACATTGTTTTAACAAGAGTTAAATCAATAATTTTCAATGGATTTATATATATATATATATATAATATATATTATAAATGGTTATATTTTTAAGTTTTAAGATCAAATGAGTAACATTATTCTAAATCTAAATCATTCGTTTCCCCAAGAATAGCCCATTATTGTCTATTACATTTTTTGTCCATATTGAATTGAGAAGATACACGAATTTTGGAGGTTCGTATCATCACAAACGGTCACTTTCTGACATTTTCTGTGAAATGTGATTGGAGAAATTATTGGGGAATCACGAGATTTCTGTTGCCAAAAGAAAAGTTAGATTAAGTTTTAGGGAATCGTTTTACACAGTTAAGTACATTGAATTTTACATTTCCACAATATAAAGCATCTTAATGATATCGGTAAATTGAAATTTTTTACAATATACCTAAACAAGTAGGTACTCCAAAATTCATGTTTCTCCGCACCAGATCAAAAGAAAAAAACACAATTGTATTTGAAAATCAGATAATTATACACCACTTGAGAAAAATATCACGAAATCAGTTACCTCTTGAATTTTTCAAGTGTTATGAAAATTTGATTACTAATGGCATCTTATTGTAGACAACGTTATAATGAGTTTCGGATCGACACAGACAAACAACTTCAGTTTCAATCTCAAGTTTTAATGAAATTATTCCTTGCGATTTTGTTTGTAGTTGTTTTGATCTCTCAAGAAAAATAATTTCGAAAAAAGATGATAAAAAAAAATCCATTACCTTGAGATGAACTCGAGGATGAACTAGAAGCGCCCTCTGGCTCAGAATCCTCATAATGGTACGTTGAAACTTCATAGACTATTGACGAAGCAGCGTCATCGTCAGAAGAATCGGAAGACAAGAGCTGCGCAGGGAAGAAAGTTCTTTTGGACTTACACATTGGAATGAGATTGACTGAGTTGACAGATTTGTGAAGTCAGTATCAAACACATAACCACACAGAATATAGAAATATGCGATTTTGACGTAATTTGTTCTATTTCTCCGTAATTCCCTAAGCAAATGCTGAGTCACTTTTAAAAAATTCTATTTAAGTACAGCTCAATTTTGATTCCTCTCTCCAATAGACAAATAAATAAATTCCACGAAAAAGCGGAACCAAACAAAATTTAAAAAAAAAAGAGTTTTCAGGATTATTTAGATAGAAAAAAAATAAAATCTTGATGCCAAGTATTGCATGTATCAAAGCATGTATGTTATTTCTGGCTTGTTCCAAATTAAATACAGTTACAACTTATGACGTCTTTAGCTATAAATTCATGTCTGAAAATATCTTTGAATAATGCAATGATTAGCTAACATCAAAATAGGACTAAGTATTTAAGTTTATCAACATGTGCACGTTACATATCAATAGAATTATTTATTAAATTGATTTATTTAGGCAATCAAACCTCATCAAGATCTTCATTTATGTCTTGACAGAAGATTTTATATTTAACATACACATTGAAAAAAAAAACAGAAATTTGTTGTACAAGAAATTGAGAAGCAACTTTGAAAATGACAACTTGAATTCAAGGAACCAAAATAACTTCCTCAAAGCCAAGATAAAACAGTCTAGAAGGAAATATGAACAAGAATTTCATCTTCTGATAAGCAATTGGTTCAAGACACATTTCTTATTTAGGGATGTAACCACTAACTGCACCGTTAATGATGAGAAAGAACTTGCCAATTTGTTTGCCAAACAGTTTCAGAGTGTTTTTACCAGACATTTGTATGATTACTTTTCATCATATTTCAGGATTTGACTTTTTCAAAAATTTTTAATAGTTGGTGTCTGACCGAAAATCACGTAGACGTGAGGATTTATTTGTATTGATTATCACCTTGAAATAAAAATAATGCCATCGTACATAACAGCTCACTAGTTGAATGGTGTAAAATAGAACAAACAAAATTTTGGTTATCGTAAAATGTGCAAATTTGCTCCAATTTATGATATGAGCTATTCTTATTTTTTCTCACTAACCAGAGAATGAGATTGTCTATCTTATGCGAGACTCAACAAAAAAGCAAACAAGTTTAATGTGATGTTATTTTTATCACTAGCATGATAGAATAGCAAAGCCAGGGATAAAAAAAAGTTTTCCCAAACTAAATTAATTATACTTCGAATTATACTTTTTAGGGCCTGTTCAGCAATTCAAATTTCAAGTATATCCTTAGTATAGGCTATTATACCTAGAACTCAATTTATTTCCGAACTCAAAAAAAAAAAAATATTATTCCAGGTATAGCCTATACTTGAATTGTCGAACCGGCCCTTAATCTATCAACAGTAGATTTGAAAAACCAATCTCCAATGTTTTTTTTTTATCAAATTGAGTGCCTGCCTACTATCTAAAATATGAAGCCTTCAATTTACAAAATTTTTGTTTTTCTTGTTTCCATATTCAACATTATCTATGGTCCATTCATGATAAATAATTCCTAATACCCAGTTCTCTTTGGAAATACCGAGGGAAATACATTATGTTCAATGCATTTAACAGAGACAGATAATAATAACTCATCCTCATTACTCGAATTGCAATATTACCTTTTACAAAAAACAATTAATGCCACCCGTATTTGTATTTTCATGAAAGAAAAACTGGTTGTATGTATGTATGTGGAAAATAACAATTACTAAATAAGTCCCACGTACAACTTGAACATAAAGATGTTATCACAAAGCATTCTATTAGCAAAGAGGGGCCTGAAGTAATTCAATTCAGTATAAACTGTCTCTTGACCCATTTCCTAAACTACTGGTCTGGCATTTGATAAAGAAAGCGGAGAATAATGCATAGTTTCTCGGAACAATTTGCTTTCTTTTTGTCTGAGGAAATGAAATTAGATAAAAAAACAAAATTACAGTGCTGGCGCCGCACCATAATTTCCAGATTGGGTAGGTTAGTTACTAAAGGCCATTAATCATTGTCTAACTTAAATGAAAAAAGTTAAGCCTAGTTGGCGTATTTTTTCCAAACTGTTGATAATAAAGATTGAGGAGGGCTTTAATTAAACACTATGCTAAAAAACCCAAAACAATCAAATTTAATATGTACGTGAATAAACAAGCTCACTGATTTGGAATGAACATACACAAACTTGGGGCCTGCCATAAAATTTCATCATAAAACTTTGGTGAAAAAAAAAGTCTGGTGATGTGGGCTTGTTGTTCTCAAAATAATTGATTTGTTCGAGACACCATTAGGTAATGCAATTAATTTATGCCAATTTAAATAGAAAATAATTAACCAATATTTGTGTTTTATATATTTTCTCATTTTAAATCCTCG